TTTTTTTTTTTTTTTTTCGAAACGATAGAAGCAAGACGACTTTGTGGCTGTTCAATTGGGACAATATGCAACTTTTGGTTAATATAATATTAAATTAAATCATCTTCTACCAAAATAAAATAAAATAAAATAAATTAAATAAAATAGCGTGTGACGTGGAATAGTGGCTTGCAAGAAACATTTACTTGTACCCAAATTTCCCCCCAATGGTACAACTCGTTCAACATACGGTATCATCACATAGGCTGCTTAAAAAGTCTCCCAAGAAAACTTGGTCAACCAAGGCACCAGCTGGTACGATGAAACTTCCCGTGGCTGCTAAGCCGTTTTCCACGTAATTGTCACCAATTAATGTATTTTAACATCTCACAAATTTTTATATGAGCCAGCCTAACCGTCAAACGGGTTAGATCCATTATATTACATAAACAAATGTTTATAGTTATTTTATCAAATGTTACTACAAATATATGTCATATTTCAATGAGAAATAAAACTGTAATATATTTTAATAGAAATTCTAATAAATATTCCAAGTGATAGATTTTGTTGGGATAATTTAAACGAAAATTCCAAAAAATATATCATTACGATGTAATGAGTTTTTTTATTATATTTTAGTTGAAATTTAATGATTCTAATTATTTATTTCCATTGAAATATGCAATATTTTTAATTTCACCCGTATTTAAACTATTGGAAAATCTGTCGTTGAAGTCGTTAAAATGCAACGGGAATTTCAATAAAAACTCATTATAATAGAATAAGTGTATTGAAATTTCCATTGAAATTGCTATATTTAAATTCATTGTAATATATATACTTTAAAATTTTATCATTTTCTTATAGTCGGTCTTACTTTAGTTTATTTTTAAAGTATTACATATGTACATTAATAAAAAGGAGTATGTAGGTATAATGATAACTGTCAACATATATATATATATATATATAACATAATCTCCAACCATCAATATAATAAAACATAAACATGTATAAATACCAAAACCTACCATTTGCTTCTCTTCACAAATGATCCAATCACCATTAACACAACAAGCTAGCTAAAAGCTTCAAACCATCATGAAAACCATATATTTTTTTCTCATCATCATTTTTACACTTACTCTATTCTCCGGTGTCTTTCCGAGGCCTTCGCCGGACGATTTATCCAACGATCACCTAATTTCCGACGGAGTTCAATTTAAGCCGGAAAATGAGTTTTTGAACCAGCAGGTCATAAAATCGGAAGAGACTCGGAAAATAGAATGCGAGCAAATGTACGGATTCTTGCCATGCTCAGGAACGATGACGGGCCATTTGTTTCTGATCTTCGTGTATCAATATCTTCTTTTTCATGCCGAGTCCTACGTGGACTCGGGAGGCAAGAGGGTCTTTAAGATACTCGGGCCGGGTATTTTTGGTGCGAGTGCTTTTCAGGTCATTGGTTCTCTTCCTGAAGCTTTGATTCTTCTTGGTAAGCCTTTTGCTAAGTCTCCTCAAGATGTAGACCTTTCTATGGTTTTGGGTTTGGATAATAATAATTGTGGAAACACCCTTGAGTTTTGGGCTAATTGCGAAAAGAGTCTTAAGGTTTTGGGTGATTACGAAAAACGCCTTCAGAGTCGATAAGTATGCATTTTTTATTTTATTTTTGAAATTGATGGTGGAGTCGATTCGTCTAACAGTCAGGTCGTCACACGTTAGAATTTGTTCTTCTATGATCCAACTGTCAGTTTTGTAATGTACAGTTACAACGTTTTCTTTCAAGAAAATGTCAAATTTGTCGAAGGAACTAAATAACAAATGTGCAGTGTTCGTAAACAAATCGCCAGTCTTCACTTTGTAGTCTACTTGGTTCGTCGAAATATAGAAGTAATCAGTCGTCTGAATCGATTTTTTGAAGAAAAAAAAAAAAAAAGATTTTGACTTTATTTTATTTTCAGCATCCGGGCTGTCGAGCAATGACGAAACTGCTCAAGAATGCGTTTTAACCGGTGTGGGGCTACTGGCCGGGTCTTCAATCTTGCTCCTAACCTTAATATGGGGAACATGTGTTATAATTGGCAGCCAAAATTTTGCTAGCCATTTGCATTCTCATCTTACAGAGGATAAAATATATAACCCTTTTGAGAGATTCTTGATATCCTTATGGCCAGGTTTAATTTTATTTATTTATTTATTTTTTTTTTTGGCCTAATTAAACCAACTTTGATTGTTGTTTATTTAATGTATATTTAATTTCCCTTGATTTTGGTTTTGCTTGTTTAATAATTTGGTGCAGGATATGGTGTGGTGACAGCTCTGTTTGCAAGCCACACTTCAAGAATCATGCTCTTATCAGTTGTGCCCCTGATTATGATCCAAATTCCGACACTTTTCGATTTATCTTACGTTTGGGAAAGATGTTTTCTGATTATCACGCTCGTTGTTTCGTTTATGTTCCTGCTTTGTTACTTCCTTTATCAGGTTTTGTTCTGTTTTCTTGTTTTGATACTTAAAAGTTTCATTAAGGTAGTTTTAGGTGAAGTGATCAAAAATCACATTTATTTTTTTCACAGTGCTTCGAGCCTTCGATTCAAAAGCGTCGTTTGATGTACATAAAACACGAGCATTTAGTCGTGGATGTATTGAACCATATCCAGAATCAAACTACCGGGAAACTACTAACTGAAAACGGGTCGCCAAATGTAACGACTATAAAACGGTAAAATATTTTACGTACGTACTTTTTTTTCGATTCTCTCGTGGTTACTAACATAATTACTTTTAACTTTTTTCTTTTTTACGCAGGCTGTTTGAGGAGAAAGATCAAGATGGAGATAACACTATATCGTTCTCCGAGCTCAAAGATTTCTTGCAAGAAATCAAAAACCAAAAGCTTCAATCAGATAAAGATAATACGACTTTGGAGATTATGAGAGAATTCGATATCAATGACGATGATAAAATAACGATGGATGAATTTGTGAGTGGGATGACCAAATGGCTTGATGATACTAAGAACACCATTAATAAAAAGTATCACTCAGTTAAATCACTTAAAGGCTTATACCAGGTAACATTTCATATAATTGCTAGTTAGCCCCCTTTGAGTTTTTTTTCTTTTGTTTTGTATATATCAAAACATTTTTCTCGGTACAGATTCTTAAGCCGTGGATGCAAAAGAAGAGAGAAGAACGCGAGATGATGAAGCATTTGGTTCCGGACATTTTAGAACACATTCAGAACTCGGTTTATGGGAGCCTCTTGGCAGAGGATGGCACTCCAAATGTTGCTGCTATAAAAAGGTACATTTAATTTATTTTTCGCAAATTAGTCCCTTTGCTTTCATCTAATTTTATTTTTTCGCCGCCAATGCAGATTGTTTAGAGACATTGATCTCGACAAGAACGAATACATATCAAACTCCGAGTTGAAAGAACTTATAAACAACATCACATTAGGCATAATTCCGTACAATTCGGACATTGCTGCATCGAAATTGATGGAAGAACTCGATTTAAGTGGAGACAAATTGATCGATGAAGAAGAGTTTGTTATGGGATTTTCGAAATGGCTAAATGCAAGTTATCACAAAGAACATTCCAATAACTCGGAGGAAAACGAAGAAGAAGACATTAATTACGAGGTAATTAAAAGAAAAAAAAAAAGGCTTAACCTTTCACTTGAGTTAACTCTATGAAAAAAAAAGTAATGTTGTGTTGTGCAGAGAACATGGGAACAAACAGATAAGCTGCTAGAGGACAAATTTGTCGATAAATCGACATTAGCTTGGTGTAAAGCCATAGCCCTTATATTGCTAGGCCTTGTTATGCTCGGTTTTCTAGCCGAGCCTCTCATACAAAGCGTTCGAAATTTTTCTTTACAAGCAAACGTGCCTTCATTTTACGTCTCGTTCATATTCATACCTTTGGCAACGAATGCTCGTATAGCAGTATCGACGATCAAAGAGTCCCGGCGAAAGAAGCTTCAAGTCACTTCCTTAACAATGTCTGAGGTATATATATCTGTAAATTAATTTATATATCCTTCCGTCACAAATTAATCTCTTTTGATGCAATTAGTAACTTGTTTGGTATGGATGATAACAATGCAGATATACGGGACTGTGTTCATGAACAACATCCTAGGATTAGCCGTTCTTTTGTCGTTGATCTATTTTCGTGACTTGGCGTGGACATTTTCGGCAGAGGTGTTGATTGTGTTGATTGTATCAGCCATTGTTGGGAGCTTTGCAAGTTTCAACACTGTTTATCCTGTTTGGACATCAGTATTAGCCTATTTACTCTATCCACTGTCATTAATCTTGGTCTATGTTCTTGGAGATTTTAGCACTGTTTAAAATAAAATTGTGTAATATATTTTGGTACAGCTTGAATTAATGCCATGTGTTTTTAGTGATGAATTAGTTCAATTTTTTTGTTCCTTGTTTTGATGTAAGTCCATGTGATCTTTGAAGATCATTTGATGTGTATAGATGTTGAACAAATAGAGATTCAATATTAAATGATATAACTTCTTTCATTTATTTGTCATAATGTATAATGTTTTGTTGGGACATTAGTTGTAATATTAATTTAGATTGAGAGATATTTTCAAAATTTTGAAGAAATACAAAATGATTATTCACATTGTATTTATTAAGTAAATTTTGCAAACATAAGTTCAAATTTTACCATCTTAAGAAGGTATGAGGGAATTGTTGGGCTCTTGCCTTATTGGGCCGTATTAAATTATTTATTGGCTGCACAATATTTAATGGGCTTATAAAAAAGTTGTAAGCACAACATTTAAGAAATGGAAATAACCCATAAATAAAATAACAAAATACTATCCTACAATGAGTGGCTTAATGGGCTTAAAAAATTATATATATATATATAT